TTTTTTTTTTTTTTTTTTTTTTTGTCTTTTTTTTTTCTTTTTTCCGTGTCCGGCAACGGATCGCAACCCTCAGTGTTGCCCCCGTACCACTCCGGGGAACGGCAACGGGATCAGAACCCTCGGTGTTGCTCCCGCGCCTCGCTCAGCCAGTGAGCGGGAACCGGTCTGTATGTGGGATCCGAACCCTCGGGTGGGAGCGCCGCCGCGCTTCCCAAGCGGCGCACTATCCAGTGTGCCACCGGGCCGGCCCGGGTTTTCTGATCCTAGAAGCACTGAGGTACTCGGGCTCTCAGAGCTTCCGTTCCAGTCTTGTGTTGAGGAGGGGGAGAGAAAGACTCGGTGTGTCCTGTGCCTCAGCTGTGCGCTGCCTGACACGTGGTGTGTTCTGTGCTTCACTGAGGGCCGTGTTGAATGAGTGAGTGGTGTGGGGATTGTTGGACTGATTATGATTCCATTTTTTTCTCCCACGTTTTCTATCCCAAGTTGGGTCTAAGAGACCATTGGTTTTCTTACGGTAAAAAGCTCACAGATTGCAGGAACTGGAATTCTGGCCAACTCATTTTTAGTGCCTTAAGTTAATTTGTAAAACCTGAAGACTTTGGCTGGAGAAGGCTCCACGAATGTGGTGTCTACTTGTCTGGCTGGTCACCTCAGCCAGGGGCATTTAGTCGAGGCTCCCCCGGAGGTCAGGGCCTTTGGTCATGTGTAGCGGACTGCTCAGGCCCCCACTTGCTGTGAGACGGGAGTTGCCCTTTCTGCCCTGCAGATGAGGAAGCTGAGTCCCAGGACAGGTTCTGCCGGTGGCCTGCTGGTGCGGAAGTATCCTGGTACCTTGGCGGGTGGCAGCGAGGATGAGAGAGAGAAGACGCGGGAAGTGTGGGTGTGCATCTCTGTGCCGTGCAAGGACGGGTCCTTGTGACCTGCTGCAGCTTCCTTGGTTTGCCTCTGTCCTCCTGGTCGTGGCCGCAGTGGCAGTGGCCGGGCCCAGGCTCACGGGCTGCTGACATGCAGCACCTCACGTGGTTCTCATTCTGCAACTATGCACATTCTCATAGCAGGTGCTGCTTCTGTTTACCCTTCAGCCAGCACTTATTGTATTCCTCTGTGCACAGACACCAGGCAGACAGGGATGATTAGCACATAACATGGGTGAGGCTGCGGGGAAGGGTTTGGGCACTGGCAAAGGCTGGGGGTGCAGAGGAGCCGGGCAGGTTCAGGACTGCAGGAGCCTGGAGGACTGAGCCGGGGGGTGGGGGGGAGCCTGTTAGTGAAGGGCATTGAGTGCTGAGCGTGGAGCGGGCCTGGGCCTCGTAGGTGGGTCCGACTGAGATTGGCCTTGAGCCCTAGACTGTGTGCTAAGTAAGCACGTCTCCTGCTCCAACTAGTGCTGCCATTTCCGGCACCTGTGCAGCACTTTACAGTTTACGTTTGAGACAGTGTCCCATCCACTTGTGGAGTAAATCCACCGGGCTCATTGTTCCCGACCAGAGTGGCTGGTCACAAGGCAGGTGGCTGGTCACAAAGAAGGAGGCTGCGTTTTGTGGAATAAACTGTGGCTTGGGTGGAGTCCTTGGTGCGGGATTTCTTCTCTCTCTGAGGGAGGCTTGTTGTGTGACAAGCTGTGTGTGTGTGTGTTTGTGTATGCACGTGCGTGTGTGCATGCATATGTGTGTGTGGAGCGGAGCTTGCTGTCCCCCCACCACCTCCAGGCAGGCGCTGGCACTGTCACTATTCACAGGCTGAGTTGACAGGAGGCTTCTCTTCTTCCCTGGGTGGTGTGGGGATGAGTAAAGGGGGACCCAGCCCTACACCACCCTGGTCACCTTCTCCAGCTCACTCAAGCCTCTGTTGTCTTCCTTCGCCCAGCCCTCCCCTGAGAGAGGCCGGCTGCCCAGGGTAATCACCCCCAGCTCAGCAGTGCCCACCACCCTGCCCGTGTGGAGGCCCCAAACCCATGGTGAGCACCTCCTGCGTACACCTGCTGCGTGTACCTTTATGTCCAGCCCTGTCTGTGGGCCAAGGCCTGACTCCTCGCAGCAGCCCTGTGAGGAGAAACTGAGGTATGGAGTCCAAGTGACCCAACTGGTGAGTGACTGAGCACACAGGTGACAGCCCTGGCTGAGGCAGGCTCAGGCTCTCCTCGTGCACCTCACACTTGACCCTCCTAAACTCGCCTTC